GTCCGGTCCATCAACGATGAGCGTTGTCATCCACGGCCGCGGTAAGAGCGGAAAGACAAACGTAACGGTGGTGCACGAACGCGATCGATGCGGCTAATCGATTTTAAAGCGAAAGCCAGAAAGAGGAACCGCGACACGCGCGATTTTTGGTGTTCTGAAACGAGCCACTTTGCGCTGGACCGAAACGATGACGATAACAAGGATGCAATGACGGGCGCGAGAGTGACAGCATCGCGGGCTCACGGGGGTGCAACAGGGGGGGGGGGAGAGGAGAGGGTGGAGAGTGAGCGGTTGCACGCGGGGGAAAGGGCACGCTATAACTAGGATATAACGCCGTGCCTCTCTGCAGTCAGTTGCAGCTCCCGGGGGTGGCGGGGTTGGGGGTGTTTGATGCCGGTTATCATGTTGACAGACACAGCGAGGTGGACCAGGATGCACCAAGGGGAGACAATTACAAATCGTTGACGTTTACGCCAACACAAACGACTATATGTCCGCGACACGTTAGATATCCTCTCTTTAGCGCAAACGAAGAGCCTTCGTCGTATTTTCGTGCCCGATGATCGTCGAATCTCGTGCTCCAGATTCTCTTCGGCGTTTGCTTCCTGGTAGATTTGGTAGATTCATTTCTTAAAAAGGATTCTGGAATTCATTTCTTAAGAACTACGAGATTAAAGATCGTAGAGACAAACTGTAGAACTTTTTTTTTTACAACAGTGTTAGATTTTGGTATATTGTCGAACAACCCCGTGATTTTCAAAACATTGGAAGATTTTTAAAAGACTCATATATAGCGTTCATATACTTTCGTGAAACACTGTACGCTATATTAAAATATTTCTTGTGATAATGGTATTAACAATGGCAGGAAAATTAACAAAAATTAAATGTTTCTCGTACGATTTTTATTGAAAATTAAAGAATCACAATATCTTCTGTCTATGAAAGCAATCTATTTTTAAGTGGACCATGCCGACACAAAGTAAATCGAAAAAAGAAGAGCACGGCTATAATCCGGTTGACTTTAGCATCGGAGACAAGAAAGAGACAAGGGGTTGTTTCGTTGGGACAGGCAGCGAATTACCAAATGCATATTAGCGTGCGATGGGCCGTTTAAGAAAGCGTAGTCAATCTCCGCGACGGACGTTTATGGAGAAGGAATTAATATACCGGGCCTTCAACTTCGGGGCCTTCGTCGGTGATATATGCACACCGGTGCTCCACCCCCGGAACATCCTCTTCTCGCCGCATTAGAGAGTCTGCGCGCTCTAAGAAACTCGCGGTCTCTCGGCAACCTAATGGACGTGGATGTAATTGCGGGACGAAATCGTAAAGTATTTAGATATAGCGATTCGCTCGTGGCTCCGCTGACCACAGGATATAGCTCTGTCGCGAATTTGTTTGCAACTCGATAGGTAATAAATTCCTCCTCTAACTAGGAATCTTATTACTTGTTCTTACACAATGTGTATTGTACAAAAAATTCACTCGTTCTTTATTCATTGAAATATGTTCCGATAGTTTTACAATTTTCGTTTAGTTGATAAATGGTTTTTAGGAATTTCATTACAATTTCGAAACGGAGGTTTCTATCATTCTCAACGATATTTCAAATATTTCGACGTGCATTCCTATTGAAGATTCTTAAAGCAAATTGAACTGAATAGTTTCAACTGTATAGTTAAAATGTATCTGTACGAAAGAGTAATATTTTAATGCAATTATAAATATATATCTCAACGATTTTATGAAACAATCTGCATAATACAATATATTTCAATGCTCTCTTTTTTTCATCGTGTTTTATTCTTTCTGTTTCAGGGAAAAGCTTCAGCATCACGATCACAGTATCAACGACACCACCCCAAGTGGCCACGTACACGAGAGCCATCAAGGTGACTGTCGATGGGCCCAGAGAACCGCGCTCCAAAACGAGTGAGTAGATCAAACACTTTCCATTCTCTGGCAGGGCCGTGGATCGCGAGATCTATCCGCGACCACCGGCTGCTACTATACGTGGATTCCCTGAAAATGTACCGATAATTCAACGAAAGTCCCTATACGCGGTAATGGGAAGTCATTACCGAGCAGATGGTGCGCGATGATGCAGTGGTCGACGTGCGTACCACGCGTATGCGTGTTTTGGGTTAGCTATTCACCAAGCCGTACTACATAGACAATGCTTTTACCAGCACACTGCCGCGTGAAAAGTAATCCACTTACCGTAATATACTATGAAAACCTCCAAAAATATCCGTTAATTATCGATGCTTGACCATGCTTAATAACCGGCGTCGTATGATGCGTATTTGCAATACAGGCTTGATATACAAATAACTGAAACCGTTTATATACCGTTCACCTGCCGTGTTCGTGAATCACTCAAGTCCGTGAACTTTAGAAATTCAGAAATTGCCCGAGTGAAGATTGTTGAAGAGTCGTTGATATATTTCTCGTATTCTAACAACAGAAGAATAGATTCTTAAAAAATACTATGATTTCCAAAAATCGTTCGTTCATTATCGTTGCTTAATCACGTTCAAGGCATGGAATGATGTACAATTGTGATGTGTTACACGTAACTGAAACTACCTTTGCAATCATCTTGGAATCTGAAAAGAAAAGGGAGAAAGAAAGTTAGAAAATCTTTGTAGATATCCTTAGGAAAATTTAACTAAATTAAAATTTAATCGACTCGATGCATTCTGATGTCTGACATAAAACGGAGAAAAAGTTTTTAAAAATTACCACATATTGAATATCCGGAAACCGCGAGGATAACTGAACCACGCGGAAAGACCAGAGAGGAATAATGAAAATAATTTCGCGTTGAATCTGGAAATATTCAAACTTCAGCAGTTTTTGATTATCCGTTGCCGGTTTCACATAATGCCTCCACAAAATGTAAATTTATCTCCATAAATATTTGTCGACGATACCTACCGGTGTAGGGTCGCGTCGAGGAGAGAGGAGTTTTCAAAAATACAGAACAATTGTGTCCCGGGCTTAAGCGAGCGCCACCAATTTCAGGCTTCCATCCGTAGGAAAAAAAAAAAAAAA